CATCTAGTTGTCAGATTCAAAATGGCCAATACCACCAGTCCATTTCAACTCACTAATGCCTTAGGTATCCATGTTTATGCATTCCATTTCATTTTTGACAATTTCTAGTTTTCCTAGATTCATAGTTTGTACATTTCATGTTCCAATTATTAATGGAAGTTTATAGCTGTTTCTCTTCATTTTGAGTTGTACCTCATTAGCAAATGAAGGTCCCGCAGGCTTTACTCCCACGGGCTTTACTCCAGTCATGTCATCATAGTCAACTCTACTTTGAGGAGGCAGCTCTTCCCTAGTCACATTTTGAGTGCCTTCCAACCTGAGGGGCTCATTTTCTGGCACTTTATCTGACAGTGTTTCTCTGCTATTGATAAGGTTTTCACTGACTAAATATTCGGAAGTAGTTTGTCACTCCTTCTTCCTAGTCTGTCTTCACCTAGAAGCTCATCTGAAACCTGTCCACCATGGGTGACTTGTTGGTATTTAAAATAGCAGTAGCATAGCTTCCAGAATCACAGCAACTCACAAGCCACCACAGTACGACAAACTGACAGACGAAAGCATTAACCCACAGCATCACACCAGGATGCCATATATATTGTTGTTGTTGTTGTTAAGTGCCTTCGAGTCGGTTCCGACCCATAGCGACCCTGTACAGGGTTTCCGAGGGTGTAAATCTTTACGGGAGTAGAAAGCCTCATCTTTCTCCCGCGGAGCAGCTGGTAGTTTCGAACCGCTGACCTTAAGGTTCGCAGCCCAATTCGTAACCACTACGCTATATATATATGTGTGTGTGTGTGTGTGTGTGTGTGTATATATATATATATATATATATATATACGATTATTAAAAATTTCTCACAGTCCTACAGATGATGGAATGGAGGTTTAAGGAAGTTAAGAAACGTGGTCAAGTTTGCACAGCCAGAACATGGTAGAGCTGGATACTAACTTTTGGCTTATCTGACACCAAACCATAGTGCCAATGACACACCAAATGTCAGTCACTAGACATCATGATTTGTGTTTTCACTCTCTCTCCATACCGTCTCATAAGTACTTTGAAATTTGGAGTCCTGGTAAGCACTGAACTGCTAACCGAGAGGTGAGTGGTTCAATCCCGTGAGTTGCTCCACTGACACCCTATAAAGCATTGCTATAAGTTGGAACTGACTCAGCTGCACTTAACAGCACAAGAACTTTGTAATTTAAATGCCGTTTTCAGTGTTTGTGAGATCATATGATCAGTATGCTCACTGTGATTTCTAATAGTCATTATTATGTTGTTGTTGCTGTCACCTGTCGTCCAGTTAATTCTGACTCATAGCAACCCTGTATAAGGTTTCCAAGGAGCATCTGGTGAGTTTGAACTACCAACTTTGAGATTCAAACCATCCTTGCAGCCCAGTGCATTATCCTACACCACCACACCAGGATTCCAAACACATTATTATAAAGACATAACTATGAAAACAAAAAAAGTCCACCAACTATTTAGAATCACCATGTCTGCCATCAGTGGTACTCACACCATATTTTGGGAAATCCTCCCTTGTTCTATAATGAACCATGTTTCTTCTGACTCTTTAGCAGATAAGAGGAATTATAGATGCTAAATAACATGTCATTTAAGACCTGACTGGTGGTTGGTGATTTTTTTCTGAGGCTGTTTTGAAAGATGGTCGCTTCCTACCCCAGAGGTGGCTATACTTCAGTGACAATTGGCAAAAGGGTCGCCGTTTGTACAGTCAGCTCAGCGCTTAGGGCGGTCTGGCTGAAAAGGACTATATAGATATCAGTTATCATCATATTCGTGATGACAATGATTATTTTACATATGGCTGCTTTAAGGGTGAATGGTATGGTCTCATTTGTATGCCAGCATCTGGCAGACTGTCACACATCTGCAGAATATAACCTAAATTGTGCTATTAATATTTCCCCTTTGCATTCTCCCCAAGGCAGCTGTCTCCCCAAATGCCTAAAGAGCCTTCCCTCTCCCTAGAAGGCCTAGAGGCAAAATTCAGAAAACATGTTACCTAGACTGGGGAAACGAGAGGTTCAGCATGACAGTTAGCTGAGCCTGAGCAGACTTCTGGCTATTGGTAGAGATGCAAAGGGAACTCATTCTAGTAGCAACTGCACTGCCTGGCAAAATCTGTAGGCAGGTTCTCCCAGGCCCAGACTATACTCTGTGTGCTCTGTAATCAACAAAAGATGCCAGTCATGGTCCTGATGGTCAGTTCTCAGTATTCCCAAACATATTTTATAATTGCTACTATCTGCTTAAAGCTGCCTTTCTTGAAAAGCTTAGGATATGCAGAGCACTCTCTGTGTTGGAAACTAGTTGTTGTTGTTGTTGTTAAGTGCCGTTGAGTCGGTTCCGACCCATAGCGACCCTGTACAGGGTTTCCGAGGGTGTAAGTCTTTACGGGAGTAGATAGCCTCATCTTTCTCCCGCGGAGCAGCTGGTAGTTTCGAACCTGACCTTAAGGTTCGCAGCCCGATTTGTAACCACTACGCTACCAGAGCTCCTTAGTTAGCTGTGTGTAGTTAGCTGTGTAAAAAGACTAGGTCTTTTTTTCTTGGACAAATAAACTACATTTCCCAATGTGCTTGAGAGGTAACCATGTGACAGAGTTCTAGCCAATGGAATGAATGCTATATTATGGTCTGGCCCACAGGGGATCACTAATGTGTAATTCTCCATGATCTTGTCCTACAGACAATCATGGTAGCATTGGTGAGCCACAGTATGGAAAAAAAAACAAAACAAAAACTGAATTGAGTCTCTTAATCACTGATTAGATGAGGCCTTGTGCTGATGAGATCATTAATTTTAGACTTTACAAAAGAAATATTCTTTTATGTGTTTGAGATATTATGGGCTCTATTTTATATCTTAGCATTCAGACAACCTTGTGGTTCAAACCGACCTTGCAGTCCAGCACATTACCCCATGGTGCCATGCCAGGACTCCTAAATAGAGTTATGGATCATACAAAATCTCTGTTCTGATGGAATTAGAATTTTAATTTTGAGAAACCAAAAATATACAAATACAAAAAATAGTAATAAATGCTATGAGAATAACAGAGATAGGGAGTTATTTGGGGCTACTTGGGAATTAATGAGTGAAAGTGCCTCTGAAAAGCTGACATCAGATTGAGACCTGAGTGATTAAATGTATTTAGCCATATAAATCCTGGGGGCAGGGGATACCATAAAGAGGAGATTGTACATGCAAAGAATGGAAATGAAGCAGCAAACAGGTGTCCAGTTAACTACAGCAGAGTGAATTCAGGTAGAGAAGTATGAAAGGATACCAGAGAGGCAGGGAGAGCCAAGATGATTTGGGATCTTATAGTCTAAAGTAAGGAGCTTGGATTTCATTGTTAGTTCAATGGGAAGCTATTAGTTTTAAAAATAGAGGAGGAATAATTACATATGGGAAGGGACACTCTGTTATGTAGGGCATGCATTATGTAGAACAGCAAGAAAAAATGAAGACCAGACAGATTTTTGCAGTCATCCATGTGAGAGACAACCTGGTTCATACTATCATGGGTTGGTAGGAGTAGAGAAAAGAGGTGATTTGAATTGTATTTTGGAGGCAGCATTGGCAGGGTTCATGAACAGATTGGTTTGGTGTTGGAGGAGGCTGGTAAGTGAAAAAGAAATACCAACATTGACTCCTAGGTGGACTGCTCACCTGGATCAATGGTGAAACCATTACCTGAGACTAGGAAACTGGGTAGAAATCAGTGGTGGGATCCGGGATAGGTATGACAGATGCTAAATAAATGGTAGATTTTAATTATTAAATAGAGGCTCAGTACAGATACTCAGCAGTTGTCTTGAGCTCTCTACATTTTAGTTAAAGAGGAGATAATATACATTTGTTGTGGTGCTGTTATATCAAACATATCTTTGATGGGGTAGAAACTGGAAAGAGGTATCCTGAGGGCTTGAGGATTTTAGTAATGTTCTGGGTTTTGATCTTGATGCTGGTTATACAGCATCTGCTTGGTCTTTGGAAATTCATTAAGCTATCCAATGATGGTATGTGTACAATTCTGTCTGTATTTTGGAGTCCTGGTGGCATAGTGAGTTAAGCTCTAGACTGCTAACTCCAAGGCTAGCAGTTCAAACCCACCAGCTGCTCATTGGGAAATAGATGAGGCTCTTTGCTCCTGTAAATCTCAGAAACCATCAGGAATAGTTCTGCACGGGCCTATACGGCTACTGTGAGTCAGAATCAAGTTAAGGGTTCTGGGCTGGGTTGGGTTGTAGTATATGTTAATAAAAGGCAAACATGAGCTATTATATGTAAAGTTCCTAAGGCAGCGACTGGAACTCAATGAATGGTGGTGGTGGCTGTGTGCCGTGGAGTCGGTTCTGACTCATTGCGACCCTGTACAGGGTTTAAATCTTTATGGGAGCAGAAAGCCTCATCTTTCTCCTGTGGAACAGCTGGTAGCTTCGAACTGCTGACCCTGTGGTTCACAGCCTGATTCGTAACCATGACGCTACCAGAGCTCCTTCAATGAATGGTAACCACTATTATTTTAACTGTCATGATTCTACAGAAACAATCTCACATATACCTGTAGTCCATGTTGTATAGACAGACCGTTTATGAATGCCTTCACAAGAAGCAAAAACCCTACAGGAACTCTAGGTTCTCTTCTTACAGTTAAGAAAGTTCCATTTAATTTTAATTTATGACACACAAATGCATTCCCATGAAGGAATTGATTCATAGCTCCAATCCAGAACTAGTCTAGGGTTACCATTTGTGAGCATCTCTATAGTTTTCTTATTTTATTATCAGGATGAAAGAGTATCATAGGAAGACTATCCATATAATTTAAAAAAGTTTCTCACAAATGCTTAGTATTACGATAGCTCCTTTCTATCCCATTTCCCCCCAAAGACAGCTCAGACCTCATTATTCTCAGGACTGAATATCCTGTTTGATTATTGGCCCCACATAAAGGATACTAAAACTTTGATTCGTTATTTCAAAGTTCCACAGGTTAATCCTCAGGTCATCAGCTGACATGTAGGTTTCATAGTCGCTATTGACTGATATGGAGTTGATGTGATATGTGTGCGCATTGGCAAACACTCTTCGTGGTGTGGCCTCCACCATCAGGTCCATGGGTCTCAGGACAGGCACCTGGGATAGAAGACAAACAAATCACATCAGAACCAAAATCCCATTGAGTATACATACTTATATGTTATTATAAAGTTATGGCCACCTTAAAGAAGAAGCTCTAAGTTCTATAGAAGACTGACAACAAATCATATGTGGTTCCTGTTCCCTCTGTTTCTTTCTGTTTTACTCCTTTTGAAAAAGATGTTACTATCACTTAGCCCTGATGGGAAACTTGGTTCTTATAAATTCCAAGTTTTATTTTTTTTCCCCATCTTCCAATGACTTCATATCAGGGGAATTTAGAGTTCACTTGGGGTATTTGCTTGTATGGTCATTGATCTTGTGGGTTTTTTTTTTTTTTTTTTTGTGTGTGTGTGTGGTTGTTGTTAAATTAAATCTACTTCAAAAAGGATATTGTAGGCAAAGGGAAACTGAGTAAAGTTAATGAAAATATGGAATTCCACTAGAATGAAAAGAGAGAAAGGGATGGAAGAAATATTTGAAGAATTAATAGCAGAAAAAGTTTTTCAGATTTGATGAAGGACATGCATCTACAAATCCAATAAGCTCAGAAAGCTCCAAATAGGGTAAACCCAAAGAGATCCACACCAAGACACATTATAATCAATTCTTTTGAAAGATAAAGGTAAAGAGAGTATCCTGAAGGCAGCAAAAGAAAAGTAAAACATCACATACAATGGAGTTTGAGTAAGATTAAGCATCCAATTCTCCACAGAGGCCCTGGAAGACAGAAGACTGTGGACTAAAAGTGCTGAAAAGAAAGGGCTGTCAACCAAAAATTCTATACCCAGTAAAACTGTCCTTCCAAAGTGAGGGTAAAATTGAGACATTACCAAATTAACAGAAGCTGGAAGAGTTTGTTACAACCAGAATTAACCTACAAGAAATCCTAACAGGAATCCTTCAGACGTAAAGGAAAGGACACTAGACAGCAGAGGTAATTTCAAATATCAGGTCCATTTTTAAAGGTAGGCTCGACAGGTCTTGTTGTTGTTGTTATCAGGTGCCATCGAGTCGGAACCGACTCATAGCGACCCCATGCACAGCAGAATGAAACAATGCTCGATCCTGGGCCAACCTCACCACCGCTGCCACCCCCGAGTCCATCAATGATGCCACCTGGCCGATCCATCTCGTTGGGGGTCTTCCTCTTTTTCTCTGACCCTCCACCCTACCCAGCATGACATCCTTCTCCAATGATTGTTTCCTCCGGACTACATGTCCAAAGTAGGAGAAACGAAGCTTAGCCATCCTGGCCTCCAAGGAGCACTCTGGCTGCACTTCTTCCAAAACAGATCTATTGGTTCTTTTGGCAGTCCATGGCACTTTCAGTATTCTCCTCCAACACCACAACTCAAAGGCATCAATTCTTCTATGATCCTCCTTATTCACTGTCCAGCTTTCACATCCATATGAGGCTACTGAAAACACAATGGCCTGGGTCAGGCGCACCCTAGTCCTCAAGCTGACATCTCTGCTCTTCAACACTTTAAAAAGTTCCTGTGCAGCAGATTTGCCCAGTGCAATACGTCGTCTGATCTCTTGACTGCTACTTCCGCGAGTGTTGATAGTTGATCCAAGACGAATGAAGTCCTTGACAACTTCAATCTTTTCTCCATTGATAAGAATGTTGTTTATTGGTCCAGTGGTGAGGATTTTTGTTTTCTTGACATTGAGATGTAATCCCTATCGAAGGCTGTGCTCTTTAATCTTCATAAGTAAATGTTTCAAGTCCTCTTCACTTTCAGCGATCAAGGTTGTATCATCTGCATATCGCAGGTTGTTAATGAGTCTTCCTCCAATCCTGATGCCACGTTTTTCTTCATAGAACCCAGCTTCTCGGATTATTTGCTCAGCATACAGGTTGAATAAGTATGGTGAAAGAATACAACCCTGTCTCACACCTTTCGACAGGTCTAGTTATTATTTATAATGAGTAATGCATGAAAAACAAGTACAAATATATGTTACTGGGCAAATGATTTATGAGATGAGTAAATGTTTTATTCCCTAAAGGTCAGTGAAACAGGCACATCAAATAGTTTCCCACACAAGAAGCTCTGTCTGGCAAATATAAACAAAGACCCAGTACTGTTTGGATTCTCCCTTTGAACTCAAACATACTTCTCTTGACAAAGTGAGTGAGAACACAAACGCCTGAGAGGCTCAAAAAAAAGAAAGACAGGTGTGGTCCTTTCATAGAAAAAGGAAAAGAAAAGTATCTAAGACTATTTTCTTTTCAAGGAAATCACCTCTTGTAACTGAGCCTTTCACTGATTTGATATCAAGTACTAGATGAACACTTCAACTTCAAGATTGGTTTCAACCTAGGGGATGAGGAAATTTCATGGCATCACCCCAACAACATAACCTTTCACAAGGCAGAATTCTCCTGGCTCAGCCTTGGTTGAACACTTCAGAAGAATCATAAAGCTCTGTACTGCTATGGTGCTGGATATTCTTAACACTAGAGGTGTCTTCAGATCAGGGCTTCTGATGGATTCATTCCATTTCTAACCTCTGATGAGAATTTGCATTCTGATTCACAATATATCTGGAGTGGGATTGCAAATTCTCAATAGGAGGTAGGATTGGAATGAACAGATTGTAAGCCCTGCTTGTGGTATAGCTGTAGAAAGAGTTTTAACTTTTCTAAATATTGAGAGCTACTACTACCCACTGCACAGAGCTCTGGTAGTGTAGTGGTTATGAAGCGGGCTGTGAACTTTAAGGCCAGCAGTTTGAAACCACCAGCCGCTCCACGGGAGAAAGATGAGCCTTTCTGTTCCCATAGACATTTACAGCCTCGGAAACCCTGTACTGGGTCGCTATGGGTCGGAACTGACTTGACGGCACTTAACAACAACAACACTACACACTGCGGTAGAGTCAATTGAGATTCATAACGGCCCTAAAGGACTGTGTGGAACTGCTTTTCAGGGTTTCTGAGACTAAGTCTTAACAGAAGCAGACAGCCTCATCTTTCTCCCACAGAGTGGCTGGTGGGTTTGAACTGACAACCTTTTGGTTAGCAATCTAATGTTTATCCCATTGTACCACTAGGGTTCCTTGAATACTGGGAAAGGAAGAGGAAAGTTCTGGAATTGCCTCACTGTGCCTGACCCCACATTTATGGATAATGATTCTATATAATAAGTCTTAGAAGGGCAGGAACCTGGGTTCTGAACAGAGAGCCACCAGTAAGGGATAAGCTATGTGATCATGGGCCAATAGCATGCTTATACCCCCAGAGTCTGGCTGTACTATCTTAAAACAGTGGCAACAGCCCCTGGGACATAATTATCTGAAGGGGGGTTGTGGGATTTAGTAAAGTGATTTAGCCTTTGGCTCACCCTCTCACCTACCCTTCCAGTTATCATTTATTGAATAAGATCCTAGGGGTTTATGGTAAGAAAAATCAGATATGAATCCTGCCCTTGTATCTGGTTTAGATGTGGAAGAGATACATAAATTAAATAATCTCATTAATAAAATGGAGTTAAGTGACAGCGAAAGAGAAGCAATCGTGATGAGAAAAGGATTTATAGTGCTGTAAAGGATTTAGGTTGGCTGGGGAAGTCTGCAAAGACACTCCTAAAGAAGCATGAAGGAGTTTGAGATGTGATGATGGGCAGGAGTTTCAACTGGCCAGAAATGGTGGGAAGAATGTTCCAGGCAAAGGAGATGTTGTTGTTGTTAAGTGCCGTTGAGTCGATTCCAACCCATAACGACCCTGTATAGGGTTTCCAAGAAGCGGCTGGTGAGCTTGAACCACTGACCTTGCAGTTCAAACTGACTTTGCTGTCTGACGCATTAACCCACAGAGCCACACCAGGACTTCAGGCAAAGGAGATAGCATGTACAAATGCCCTGTGGTAGGGATAAGCAAGCAAGAATGAGGGACTGATAAGGATAGGTCAGCATAGTTGAATCAGAGAGTACTGAAAACCCTCGTGCGAGATCAGACTGATGGGGTAGCTAGGAGGTAAGCCCCAGAAAGTATTCCATTACCTCAAGGGATTTGAAATGAATGTAATATGATCAGGTTCAGGTTTTGATAAGAGTAAAGAACAAGTTTGAGAACTGATGAAGTCAAACTTTGAAAACGAAGGTGATTCATTGTTGAATACCAATTAAGGCCTTAAAGTATGTAATAAAGTGAGTTTTCCTTCAGGAATTCTATCCTTAAATAATGACTGGACATTTACTTTTTATTAAACATTTCTCACACATTGTCCCAGGTCAATGTAATTCTTTCAACAACCTTGTATAAGATAGGTCCTAGGATAAAGCACGGTTACAAAGAGATACCTTAGGCTCAAAGAAACTATGCCACAGGTCCATGGTTAGGTGGTATAGCCAGGATTTAATCCTAAAAGCTACCTGATTGCAAAGAGAGTACTATTTGAGTACCAGGCCATAGTCAACACAAGGTGGAAAGTGATAAAAGCTCTGAAACTGACACAAGTAAATTTCTAGGAGAATTTATGACAGTAGTATTTCTGGAGCCCTGGATTAGGAACTGAATTGCTAATTGCAAGGTCAGCAGGTCGAATCCAATTGCTCTGCAGGAAAAAGAAGAGGCTTTCTGCTTCCATAAAGATTTACAGCCTTGGAAACCCTATACAATGTCGCTATGAGCTGAAATTGACTCTGTGATATACAACCATAGTATTATTATTGATAATTATAATGGTAGTACTATCACTTATGATGGCTCTGCTGTTGTTGTGTGTCGGTGAGTCAGTTCTGACTCATTGTAATCTTATGAGTCCTTTACGGGAGCAGAAAGCTTCATCTTTCTTCCGTGGAGCGGATGTTGTAATCAAATTGCTGATATTGTGGTTAGCAGCCCAATGCTTAACCCACTAAGCCATCAGGGCCCCAGTGATATCTCTAGACACCTAAAGCGGATGTTGTGGGTACTCCTGGTATTTGAATAAAACATCAATGCATCCTCACTGTGCTTTCAGAGTCACTGGTCATACTTTTATAGT